ATGGGGAGCTCCACCGAAGGGCCCCAATCGGAGGGTCCACGTGCGTCTCCACGCTCAATGTCGGCACACCCCGCACAAGTCCCGTGGCCCAGAAAAAGCAGCTCCACCGAAGTCCCCAGTGAGAGGCTTCATTTCGGCACACACACACACACCTTACACGCTTCGTGGCCGCATAGGGAGCTCCACCGAAGCCCCCACCCCATTTGGGCACACCCCTGGCACGTTTTGTGGCCCCAGAGGGAGCTCCACTGGACGCTCCAGTGGGATGATCCATATGCGTCTCCCCACCCTATTTCGGCACACCCCTCACACGCTTCGTGGCCCCCATGCGCTTCCCCGCACCACTTCGGCACACCCCGCACACGCTTCGTGCCCTCCCCGGGAGTTCCGCCGAAGGCCTCCGTGGGAGGGTCCACCTGCGCCCCCCCACCTTGTTTCGGCACACCCCTCCACCGTTTCGTGGCCCTATGGTGAGCTCTGCCGGAGGCCACAGTGGGAGGGCCCACGTGAGTCTCTCAGCCACATGCCGGCATAACCCTCACACGCCCTGTGGCCCCAGAAGGAGCTCCACCGAAGGCCCCAGCGGGAGGGTTCACATGCGTCTCCCCGCCCCACGCGGAACACCCCTCGAACATTTTCGTGGCCCCAGAGGAAATAGGAAGCTCCATGGAAGGCGCCAATGGGAGGGTCCACATGAGTCTCCCCCACCCAGTACAGCGCTTCGTAGCCCCATACGGAGCTCCACTTACGGCCGCAGTGGCCGCGGCCGCAACGACTGAGATCATGGCGTCGTATTTTTCCGAACCATCCTGTGGTGTTGGGTTCGCGTTTTGAGGAATCAATGCCCCGCGTTCCTCATCTCCCACCCTTCTCTCCCGCTGCCCCCCTCCAAATCCCACCCCGCATCCCTGCTTCAAACCTCTGCATATCGACCATTTCGGCAAACCACTCACGCGTTCCGTGGCTCCATAGGGAGCTCCACCGAAGGCCCCAATGGCGGGGTCCACATTTATCCCCCCGCACCATGTCGGCACACCTCTCACAGGCTTGTAGCCCCAAAGGGATCTCCTCAGAAGACCCAGTGGCAGGGTGCGCATGCGTCTCCCCGCCATACTTCGGCACACCCCTCGCACACTACGTGGTGCCATGGGGAGCTCGTCCGAACCCCATAGAGAGCTCTTCCAATGTGTCCCCCACCACATTTCGGCACACCCATCTCACGGCTCGTGGCCCCATGGGAAGCTCCTCCGAAGCCCTCATTGGCAAGGCTCGCATGCGTCACCCGCCCGATTTCGGCACACACCACGCGCTTCGTGTCCCTACAAGGAACTCCTCCGACGGCCCCAGTGGCAGGGCTCGCATGCATCCTCCCGCAGCATTCCGACACACTTCTCAGACGCTTCGTAGCTCCATACAGAGCCCCTCCGAATGCCCCTGCGGCAAGGTTCGCATGCGTCCCCCCGCCCCATTTTTTGCCCCATACGGAGCTCCTCCGAAGGCTCCAGTGGCAAGGTTCGAACGCCCCTCACACGCTTCGTGGTCCCATAGGGATCTCCACCTAAAGCACCAGGTGACGTTCGCATGCACCCCACCGGCCAATTCTGGCACACTCCTCACACGGCTCGTGGCCCCGTAGGGAGGTCCACTGAAGCCCCCAGTGGCAAGATCCGCATGAGACACCCCGCGACATTTCGGCACACCGCTGGCACCACGGGGCCCCATTGGCACACCCCTCACACGTGTTGTGGCCCCATAAGCGGGGTCCACTGAAGCCACACGTGGTAGGATTCGCGTGACTCCCTGTGCAATTTCGGCACACCCCTCACACGCTTCGTAGCCACATAGGGAGCTCCACCGAAGGCCCCAGTGGCAGGGCTCGTATGGCACCACCGGATTCATTTCGACACACCCCTCACACGCTTCGTGGCTCCAGATAGAACTCCACCACCAGCAGTACCCACAACGCGTTATTCACAACTGCATATGGTTAGGTCCTTCGCCAGGATAGTTGTCTGCAACAAACGATTTTGCAGTGTTTCGGACCGTTGGGTTCTGACAGATCGATCTGGCTCGAAATGTGCCGCAGAGAGATGGGGTCCAGGACTGCGGTCGAGTTCTGGTTAGCGATATTGTGTGCCGTCGTGGCTTCGGATTTCAATGCTTCCTCGAAGAGGGAAGCGGCACAGACATAAATGACCCCCCCAGGCATGGCATGCCTGGGGGGGTCATTTATGGCATGCCTGGCATGCTGGTGTGAAAGAATCAGGCGGCGAGGTTTTTGGTGGGATTCGCACTGCAGGGGCCCTCGCCAGGCCTTGGGTCTGTCACAAAGCCACTGGGAATGAAAAATAAACACTAGGGAAAGGATCAGGCAGGACTTCTGGGGACGCCGATATTGGAACTATCTTGGTGAAAGGCCCAACCATAAGCAATTGTGCACACCGCGTTGTGATTCCCGCTTTCGGTAGAGATCCCTTTGGGGCCACGTAACGCGTGAGGGGGGTGCCGTAATGGTGGTGGTGGTGGTGGGGAGTGAATGCGAACTGCGCCATAAGGGTCTTGGGTGGAACTCCCTATTGGGCCGCAAAGCGCGTGAGAGTGGGCCGGCATGGGCCCCGGGTCCGCATGCGAACGTCGCCAATGAAGCCTCCAGTGCACGCGGCCACGGCCATTGGAGCTTCCAGTGGGGCTCCCGGTGGGGCCACGAAGCGCTGTACTGGGCGGGGAGAAACATGCGGCCGCGGCCACTGGGGCTTGAGTGGGGCTCCCTGGGGGGGTACGAATCTTTGTTTTGGATGGGGCAGACGCACGCGGCCGCGGCCACTGGGGCATTCGGTGGAGCTTCTAATCTGGGGCCACAAAACGCTGTACTGGGTGGCGCGGGCGCATGCAACAGCGGCTACCGGGGCCCTCGGTGGAGCTCCCAGGGGGGCCACGAAGCGCTGAAACGGGCGGGGCGGACGCATGCGAACGCGGCCACTGGGGCCTTCGGTGGAGCTCGCCATGTGGTCACGAAGCGCGTGAGGGGTTTGCAAAATGGTTGGTATATGGAGGCAGGGGCACGGATGGGATGAGGGGGAGCATGAGAAGGAAGAGAGGAGAGGAGACGAGACGCGGGGCAATGTCTCCACTTAACGAGGATCCAACACCAAAGGATGGTTGGGAATTGAGACGCCAGGATCTCAGGGGGTCTGCAGTTGTTCCTCTTCGAGGCACAGCAGTTCCCAGACCCCCGACGTCATTCCCCAATCAGAGCTTGCCTCTGTAGGGGTCCAAGCGGATTCATATGGTTAGGTGAGGTGGGGCGCCGATTTGGTGGCCGTTGGCCGGGTGCCCGAGTGCCTGGGGGTGCCCGGGGGTGCCCGGGTGCCCGATTTTGGTGGCCGGTGGCCGGATGCCCGGGTGCCCGTGGGTGCCCGGGTGCCCGGATGCTCGGGGGTGCCCGGAGGTGCCTGGGGGTGCCCGGGTACCCTATAGCCCTATAACTCTATAGCCCTATAGCTCCATGGCCCTATAGCCCTATAGCCCTAGAGCCCTGTAGCTCTAGAGCCTTAAAACCCTATAGCCACATAGTTCTATAGATATATAGTTCTATAGCCCCATAGCCATATAGTCCTATAACCTCTATAGCCCAATGCCCTATAGCACTATACCCTTATAGACATATAGCCTATATAGCCCTATAGCCCCATAGCCCTATAGAAATATAGTCCTATAGCCCCATCGCCCCAACAACAATCTGATTGGGTTTTTCTCTGGTATCATGTTTTTTTATTGTTTTTCGTAACGTCGTCGACCCCCAGACATCTTGACACACTCCGCAGGACCGGTCTTTCATCCCGAATTGTTTTTTGATGCTCCCGAAGGCAGGTAAGCGCCCCCAGGGACCGACAATAGCGAACAACCAACCGTCGCGATTTTCCTTACATGGGGGAAGCCAGGTCCTGAGGAAAACGGGTTCTGGACCCTGGAGCCTTTCCCCAGGACGATTTCTGTTTCATCCGGAGTCGTTTTTTACCAGCCCCGGGGACCGGGGCTCGTGAAAACGGTGAAAAATCTGGGAGCCCTTTTCCCTCAGGATCCCTTTTCCCCCATCTTGCAGACCCCCGACGGGGAGATTTTTCACAACGTCGGCCCCCCGAGGTCTGGACCCCTTCCCCAGGACCGGCTTTTCATCCTGAGCAAATTGTTGACGGCCTCGGTGCCTGGCAAGGGCCCCGCAGAGGCGGAAACTTCAGAAAAAACTCCCGCCGTGATTGCTGCACGACGCGAGGAGGACTGTGATGGCGAAATCCTCATGACCCGAGAGAATCTGGCCTGGGCAAGGCCAGCGGCGGGGGCTTAAGGGGGCTCGACCACAAGACACCTTCCGCAGAAACCCAACCCTGAGACCCAAGGACGTCCATCGATTTTTGGTGTGGGAACGTCACGCTGTCCATTGAAGAACCATCGGGAACCACGAAGCCCAGGGCACCCTGGAGGCAAGCAGGGTGTTTCTTGGCATGGGCCTCCACTGTAGAGAAGGAGGAGGAAGAGGAGGAGGAAGAGGAGGAGGAGGAGGAGGAGGGAGGAGGAGGAGGAGGAGG